GTATACTGCTATCTTGCGTTTTCTTTATTCAAGTATCACAATTGGTATAAACATGAATTTGGGTTCAGAACGCTGGGCTGGGCTTTTTCTGATGGAAACGATGCAGTATTTATCGATCATTTTTTAATCATGAAATGGCAAATCATCACGGCAATCATTCCTTTTGCCAGTGTCACACTACCGTACTATAACGAAACTATCAATTCCATACTTTCATCTCCTCATCTATCGTATAAAAATGTTCACTTTAAGTCTGATATTGACATTAAACATCTCCAACTATGTAAATCGTTACCTTCATGTATGACGTAATAAAACCATGATTAGTTAAAGGACAAAAAATTGCTTCCAAAAAATTTGCTCAGGTAAGGTCAATCGAAGTGGATCAAAATAAGCTCCATATGTTTCTATATTTTAGGATGTCTACTACCTTGGCCAAAGCATGGCATGCTTTATAACCGCTCGTTTACTGACTATATAAACAGGATGCCCCAGGATACTTCCAGTAGGAGCGTTATAATCCAGAAAGAGACGCAGTACATCTTTTTTACTGAGAAATGCCACACCCCTGATAACACAAACATGTACATACATTCGATTTGATAAAATTAATTACCTGTTCCATGAACAGGTTAAACAGCAGGGAGAAAAAATTAAGCGGTCTCTGCAAGCTCGCTCCAAGAGAACAATAGCAGAACTCTTGAAGAATACCGCTTCATCTTCTCAGACCACACCAAAAAACAGTAACACGTTCTCCATTTTGCCAGTTGATGATCTAGACTCTGACTCAGAGGGCGGTGAGGGTAGTCCGTTTGTCTTTAAAGGCAATACGAGAAAACGAGCAAAAAAATACACCACCGAAAATCCTCGTAAGGCCACTTGTACGGACCACCCTTCCACCTTGGAAAAATCAAGAGGTGACGGAAATGCACCGAAACCCATTCCACCGGGTTTTAAACCTTGTAATTATGACAAGAACTTTCCGTCACTTCCAGGATCATCTAAAACCCCAGATGTTCCAGTTTTTCGGCCAGAAAATCAGCTGAATAATCAGCAAGAACATGCTCCCATGTTCACGTTTTCCGGTATTGTGGATAGCTTCTTCAGTATATTCAATATCTCTGACTCAACGAGGAGCATTATTAATTTAGTGCTGCCAATGGTGAAAACTCTTTTGAAGCAACTAGTTTCTAGGTGGTCCTTCCTTGCATCGATCATATCCTTTGATGGATAACTCTCCGAATGAGGTCGGGGATATGATCTCTGTTCTTCAATGGAACTGTAGAAGTCTTATGCCAAAACTTGACACATTTAAATTTTTAGTTAACAACTCACTTTCTGATGCATTTGCCCTTTGTGAAACATGGCTCTCTTCAGACAACGATCTTGCTTTCCACGATTTCAACATTATACGCCTTGACCGCGCAGATTCGTATGGAGGGGTGCTTCTGGGGATCAACAAGCTTCATTCCTTCTATAGAATCGATCTCCCTTCGGTGACAGGCATTGAAGTAGTTGCATGTCAGGTTAATATTCGAGGTAAATGCCTCAGTATTGCCTCAGTATATCTTCCACCGAAAACCGCGATTTCTCGTCAAAGTTTCTCGGATATCTGCACGGCTATGCCGGAGCCACGGTTGATCTTGGGAGATTTTAACTCTCACGGTACAGGCTGGGGGGAACTGTACGACGACAACCGCTCAACCTTGATATACGACATGTGCGACTTCTTCAAAATGACAATTCTGCACACCGGGGAAGCAACACGAGTAGCCAAACCTCCAGCAAAAATAAGCAGATTAGACCTCTCACTTTGTTCGAGTTCACTATCGTTGGATTGCTCGTGGAAAGTAATTCAAGATCCCTACGGTAGTGACCATTTGCCAATCAAAATTTCTATTACCAATGGTTCATCTTCTACTCGCTCGGTCGACATCGCGTACGATCTTACGAAAAACATTGACTGGCGAAAATTCGCGACCGCGGTTCTTGATGCCAGTCAATCGGTTGACGTCCTTCCTCCGCTGGACGAGTACTCCTTTCTCGCGCGTGTCATCATCGATTGTGCGCTGCGAGCACAGACGAAACGTATTCCGGGTGTTTCCTTTCGCAAGCGACCTCCCACCCCGTGGTGGGATAAGCATTGCACCGACGCGAACAGCGAGAAGTCCGCCACGTTTAAACGCTTCCGCAAACACGGTAATTTCGAACGGTACACCGACCTCGAGAAAACCTTTAAGGACTTAATTAAAGCAAAAAAAACGCGGTTACTGGCGTCGGTTCGTCGATGGTTTGTCGCGAGAGACTTCCATGAGAACACTCTGGAATGTCGGCAGGAGAATGCGAAACGCTTCATCACCGATTAATGAAGACAAGGAGTACTCGGACAGATGGATTTTCAGCTTCGCGCGGAAAGTTTGCCCGGATTCGGTACCGGTCCAAACCAACGTTCGTGATCGTCCGTCGGGTAATAACGAAATAGATTCCCCGTTTTCGATGGTGGAATTCTCACTTGCTCTCGTACCGTCCCATCGCGATGCTGTCCTGTATACGGAAATTGTTGGAGAAAATGATTCTTTTTCGTCTAGACAAATGGGTCGAGTCGAATGGTTTACTTTCAGATACGCAATTTGGATTTCGGAGAGGCAAGGGAACGAGCGACTGTCTTGCGTTGCTTTCAACTGAAATTCAACTGGCCTATGCGCAAAAACAGCAAATGGGTTCAGTTTTCTTGGACATTAAGGGGGCTTTTGATTCTGTTTGTATCGATATCCTTTCGGATAAACTCCACGATAGTGGGCTTTCACCAATTATGAACAACTATTTGAGCAACTTGTTGTCTGAGAAATATATGAGCTTCTCTCATGGAAACTCGACAATTTCACGAATTAGTTACATGGGTCTCCCCCAGGGTTCATGTTTAAGCCCCCTGCTTTATAATTTTTATGTAAAAGACATTGATGGTTGTCTTGATGAAAGTTGCTCGCTAAGGCAGCTTGCAGATGACGGGGTTGTGTCCGTTATAGGGCCAAGTGCACCGGACCTGCAAGGACCATTGCAAGATACCTTAGACAATTTGTCTACTTGGGTAAGCTGGGTATCAAATTCTCTCCGGAGAAAACTTGTGCGCTTGTGGTAGTGGCTATCACGCTATCGACGTGCTTTGGTCATGCACCCTACATTGTGTTGCTAGATCCAAGTTATCCGCATCCCTCAGGGCCCGAGGAAAACAACCTATGCGGCCCGTTAGAGACATCTTGGCGAGCCGAGATCTCGAATATTTTAATTTAATTTATGTGTTTTTAAAACGGATCGATCTGAGGATTTAGTAGTTAGTGTCATCTTGTGTTCTCTCAAGTTGCTAGGTCTCCATCGGTGTACCCCCATGTTTGTCTTTTTCTCCAGTATGTCGCTTAGTTCTAGATCAAGAGCACATTGCTCTAAAAAACCTTGTGTTCTCAATCCCTACCCTGCCACCGGTTTGTTACAATTTGTTACCCCTAACCTCGAGAAAGCCGCGAGTAATCGGCCCCCGCTTTACTAACGTTAGTTTTAAGTAATTTTGTACCCAAACGATGAATATCGGCTCCGCAAAGCTACGGCAAATGAGCCTGGAAAAATAAACGCATTTAAAAAAAAAAAATGAACAGGTTGGACATGCAGACGAGAATTCCGAAGAATCTCTCTTCTGCTTGTGGTGTCACAGAGTTTTAATATACCATAGGAAACCCAATGTCATGACTTTGTAGGAAACACACGTGCGACCATATAGTGTTAAGATCAAATTTCCTTCATATTTAGCAAAACTCACTTTTACCTCTCTTTGTCTAAAGGTTTTTAATGGAAAATTGAAATTTTTCATTCCACATACCGTTAGATTTGATATAGATTTACAGATTAAAGATTGCTTATTCCGGAGTAGTTCTCTACCCTAGTAACTTGGCTAGGATTTCCACTGAACCTTATCTGAGATTTCTTGATTTTGCCGGACATCTCAACATTATTACTGATTCTGTTTAAATTTCCTTGAATCTGAATTTTAGACGCCGTGACAACATGCAATTTAAAGGACTTTTCGGATATAAGAAAAAATAACTTCCCACATTTCAAGCGCAGCCCAGTCGACTTCAGTGGAAAATATTTAGGGAAACAGTTGCGCTTGCGCCCAATAGTAAACTAAAAGTTTTCGATTATGAAGAGCTTTGAGTTTGTTGGCTTATTTCCTTTAAATTCCGTTATAATTGCTTATCTTTTGACAGATACGCGTATTTCGTCTACTACTTGCAGACTTCATCAGTGCCAAGTACTCAACACCACTGAAGAATCCATCTTTTATCTACGAGCTATATAATATACTAATCAATAGGTACTAAAAATCAGCAGGTACCCACTGCCATGTCAAAATTTACCTAAAAAGGTACCTAAATTCAGTCTCCAACAGGTAGAGACATGCTACGATGTGTTGTTTTAGGTAGCAGGTAGCAGGATATTAATGTTTTCCTTAGTCAAATTGTGCCCCTTTTTAACGATATGTTCTGCAACCTTGGATTTAAATTCATAATGAAGTCCTTTATCCATCTCTTTGTTAGCTTTCGATTGGAAGCTTTGTTGAAGCTCGGTTTGTTGCGCGGCTTCACTATGTTGCAAGGTTGCTCTTAAGAATGTAGTATTGTCAAATTTACTGAAATTTGATTCGTTAATTGAACTCCCAGCACCACATCATCTTTTAAGAAAACCACATTCACAGAAGGAACTTTTAGAATGCATCAATTAATATTGATGAAATTACACAACAACAGATTTGAGCTTTCTTGTCATTGTGAGATTAATTGTACATGGGAAGAAACCTTATAACCATAATCAAATTTCATAATATTGCGCTGATTCCGATTTCTAGCATCATCGGAACATGTATTAAAATCAACTATTGAGATTGTTAGATCGAGAAGTTAAAAGTATCGATGACACAGTTTCACATGTGCATCCCTAGAAAACTAAGTATGAGAGCGAATTTCTTCCGCCGGTCCGCTCTTGATCCCTATGTAGATACAGCTGACGATCGATCGCTAACGATCGGGTCAGCTGTGTGGCACATAGGTACGAAAGGTTCTTAAGATCAATTTGATAAATTCACTAATACCACATCACAGCTCCAGGACTTGTCCTAGGAGCTAATTAAAAAAAAAAAAAATCGTTTTTTTTTTTCTAAAACGAGATTTGAATCCATGCTACTAACAGCTCTTTGGAATGACCCCTGTCGCCGTACCATCTGAGCTAATTTTTCTTCACACATGTTTAGTTTTGTTCAGCCGGTTTTGCTTGAAACAAATGCGCTTTTGCCGAAGCTTCGGAATTATTAATTTTCCATTAGATGTCACTGTTGTTGTTTGCGGTGATTTCTATCGGCAACTACGCATAATCTGTTTTCAGTAAATTGTTCACAGAGTACAGCGCAGTGCAAAACATGGTATATATGCATTTAGATTAATATCCGAAGTCCTTTCTTTTTTGCATACTCTAAGAAATGTCCCCAGCTAAAAAAAAAGAGCTGTTCACCGCGTAACAAGAATCGAACCGGCATACTAGATCGCTTACTTTCTTGAATTAGCGCAGCCTGCTTACTATGTGAGCTGTTCATGCTCACAACCGTTAGTCGATTCCGTCGGATAAATCTTCAGCAGATGATCAATGCGCGAAACCTGACAGAATCGGTTTAATGCGTTATGATTCAAACGAGAGAAAAAGTGAGAGCGCGTTCATTATCTCCTTAAAGAGCAGTGAACCAAATGAACACAAACGCAATCACGCATGCGTCCGAATCCGAATATAATTTCAATATATATAACAATAGTTACATGGTAGTGGGACGAACTCAAAAAAAGTGGGACATGGCTTTTTGCGACCCAACTATTGAGTGTAGCATTTTTATGTGTTGTAGAATGTTTCTTTATTTTTTGAGTACTTTATTTGAGAGGTGAACATTTTTGCTTAAGAGGGGTTATACACACTAAGATAAAAAAAAACTTTTTTAAGTTTTGTCAAAATTGATGAACATCTATGAAAACATTCTAGAGGAAGTCATTTTAAGAAATGTTGTCCAAGACGACAATTTTCTATCTATCAAGTGTAAGACGTTGTAGGTAAAAAATGAAGAACAAACGTAAGTACCCCCTTAAAAACCGTGTTTGCCATAACTTTTTTGTTTGAATTCGTTTGAAGGATTTACATTCGTATTTATTATTTTTCAACACTATCTTAAAGGGAGTGTATCTTGCAGGTTAGCAGGTATTAGCAGCTAAACTCAACGTAATTTCGTTCAGCAACTTATACCTGTTAGATATACAATTCATATGGGGATCAAAGGGGATGTCTGATGAATTTTCTAATAAAGTACTTCAATGTACAAAAAGTTTGATGTTTTCATGACAATGTTTCCAATTATGTACAGCAATTGGGAACCCACCCTAAATACTTGGAAAAATGGTCAAGTCAGTCACTTTTTTTCATCAAAAAGTCACTAAAGTCACTTTTGTAAGACCAATGTTGAGAGTAAAGAGTTTGACTTAAAAAACTCACATCAAATCACAGCTTGATTTGTTAGCAAATTTGTATTAAAAATAATAATTATAAATACGTGTGTAAAGTTTGACAAGAAGATTTGCGAACAGACGGACACGGGAACCCAATTGATGTTTACGGGATCACTTATATTTTGATTATTTTCTATTCAATTTTGTGATATAGATATTCAAACCCGTTATTTCAAAATTTGTTCAGATTATGATTTTTTTTTCCTGTGATCTCGAAATTGTCAATCATAAATTTTCTGAGATTTCGAAAATAGATTCTAGACTAAATATTCTGACTATTTTACTTCATGATCTTGATAGTTTTCCAAACCTATGATTTCGAAAATTCGTGTTGGATAATTTTAAAGCGCTCAAAATTTTTACAAAGGCCATTCATCTTAAAAGTCTTTGTAACCCGGTAGCTTTAGTATTTGTAAATAATCGAGAAAAAAAATCATGTCACAGAATCATGAGTATCGGGCTAATAATCTGCTAATCCGGAATCAGCAATATCCAAGACAAGGTTTTTTTTTTTTAAATTAATGTTTAAGATCATAAAATGTTTTCTATGTTCAAGTCGCATTTAAATTGGTCACTGTGAACTTACATGCTATATGTTCAAAATATAGAACATTATTCCAGCTCACACAATTTTCTCGATTCCTTTGTCCAAGAGATCTCAAATTCCAAGCAATAAACAAAAAAAGTCCAAAACTCTGAAATTAATACCTAAATCCCTAATTTTTCACGATCGTAATTTTAAATCCTAGACGCATCCAAATTTTTATTTTATGTCCGTGATCTTCTATTTTGGAAAATTTTCCTTGCTCCATAATAATGCGATTTTTTCTTAGACTGCGATCTAGGAAAGTTGTCTAGGTCCTGGAGTTGAATTTGTATCTATGTTTGGGGTAATACAGATAATTCTATTCTTGGGAGAGTAAAGTAAAAACATGACCAGTGAGTTATAGCGACTGCCAAGAAGAGAACGATAATTTTATTCAAGTCCTCGTGGCTAACTTAGATGTACATTTAATTCTAGCCTACAGCTTTTCACGTCGCTAAACGGATCGCTTCATCCATATCCTAGTTCTTTACAATTAACTGTCCTAAAATTTTGAAAATTAGTCTAAATCCGTGACTGAACATTTTTCTTTGTGCCTCAATTTTGCAATCCAATCACCAATTCGCGATCTGCATCTAATGTCAAAAAAAATAAAGGTGAACAAAAGAGTGCAGAGTGAGGAAATGGAGCTTAGAATTGAACTGTGCTCTTGTTTATTCAATTCATAATTTAAATGTATGAGATCCTTAATCCATTTGTTTTATTTTCAAGAAGCAAGAAACATGCGCATGATGGGTTTCTCGAGGTGGCAATCGCAACCAACAGAAGATTGAAACTATATCTTCCCGATCAATAAATGTCCCTATTGGTCACATTTTTGTTGTGTTAAAGTCACTACTTTCGTTATTCTTGTCAATAACGTCACTACTATTATACCACATACCTACTACCAGCCCTGCGTTAAGTGAAAACATAAGAACTGCTCTGTTCCCCAATCTGACGCAAATTTTACCATGACATTACCTTCCACCAAACTTTTTGCAAACTTAACCTAAAAAAAACTTTTTTGTGTTTCGAGGGCGGATCCCGAGCGATTTAATGTGTCCACTTTCCAGTGTCAGAATGTCAATCCAACATCGTGTCAATGCCTAAAAGAAAAAATAATAATTCAGTAGGTTCATCCTGTTAGGTTCACTTATGAAACGATGCTTGAACTATCAACTTTCCGTCTCTATGCACCTTGCAATTTTTCTTGTTGTGAACAGAGCAAAATGTGCCTCAATCGAGTCCGTAAAATCTCGACCCACACCTATGCAATATGGAATGAACGATGGCTACTGCGGTCACACTTCAACGGATTGTGTTTGGATCTAGTTTTCATTTTATTCGCATGGGAGAGTGGGGTGAGCTATGTGTTGGATCAATCCGCTTCTACTGTTTGAGCGAGTTCTTGTGCCATTAACCCTGCTTTCCCCCTTCCGTGAAAAAAATTAATCTTGAGACTTTTTTTAAAATAGCATCCAATGCTCTCACACTAACATCTACAATTTAGCTCTTACGCTTTCTTTATTCATGCGGAAAATGAAAATTTTATCGAACTGAGAATTAATTGTAAAAGTAAGACGAAGCTTGTTGTTCGTAATATCGTTTTATTTTTAGAAAGAAAGATTAGATGCTGTAGTGGTAAGCGTGACTGCCTCTCACTCCAAAGGGCCTGGGTTCAATCAATTCGGAAGGGAAGTAAAGCCGTTGGTCTCCGGTCCATGAATGGATGGGTCGATCAGGGTGTCCATCTAACCAGGAAAACCGGGAATTCGGATTTACCGGAAAAATGCAGCAAACCCAAATTGCACCGGGAAAGATCATATATACTTATCCCAAGTAACAACTTTGATTTTATAGTAGTCTTGCTACAGTTTTCCGATTGAAGTAGTTCTAGTATAAAAGCTGAGCGAGACATATCCTGTTACAAAGCTACTTCAAGATAGAGGAGCAGATTCATGCCATCTCAAACTCCTTGCCAACTCCGATCATGCTTGTTATGCAAGTGTTCGACATCGAACACAATCAACAAAATAAAAAAAGTCATGAGATGATTGGTGTAGAGATATCATCCTTTTGGAATCCTGAAAAGATTCTTTTAAGATTATTTCAAAAACCATCATTGGAATTTCCTTGCATTTCTCTTCTCAATTTCAATACCCAATTGAGAATAACATATTTTGACCTTACTACAAATTACATACTGTTTTCTTTAGGGCCAAAAATTAAGCAAAACAATAATCTATGCTTCAAGTAAGGATTTGGGTTTTATCATGCGATTTAACTTGTGATGGTACTTGGGGTGTTTTACCATATTTAACTGTTTCAATTAACCCGGGAAAACTAGCTTAGACAACTGAAAGAAAACGAAAAAAAGAACAGGTTTTTAAATTCTTCAATAGAATGGTCAGAGTGCATTTGTTTCAAATCCGTTATCTTCAATAAAAAATAGATTATACCATTTTTCCATTGTCTATGATCTCGAGATATCACAAATTTTCTGAGGTTTCGAAAAAAAATATAAACTCTGGTTCCGATATCTCTTCGTCATCTTGAAAGTTTTCCGCGACCTCTAAACCTTCATCAATCTTTACCAATTTTTGCACAGGTTCATATTTTGGGGCTATGAATCGAACTGGAGGGTGGCCCATCAGAAATTCATCACTTTTTTCAGAATGAAGCACCCTAATGTACATACATACGATTTGATAAAATTAATTACCTGTTGCATGAACAGGTTGGACATGCAGACGAGAATTCCGAAGAATCTCTCTTGTGCTTGTGGTGTCACAGAGTGTTAATATACCATAGGAAACCCAATGTCATGACTTGGTAGGAAACACACGTGCGACCATATAGGGTTAAGATCAAATTTCCGTCATATTTAGCAAAACGCACTTTTACCTCTATTTTTCTAAATG